GAACTTCTGTTCAAACTCAAAATACATATAAATTATAAATAGAAAAAACAACACAAACCACACTGATGCAGTTAATGAGACGAGGCAGGGTAAGGGCTTGAAGACGTCCACAGATATCGAAATACACACACTGGGAAGGACGCCAGAACTCAGATAAGAACCGACAGACTAGAATTATTTCACGCTTTGTTTCCAGCACGGGGCCATGCACAATTTGTCCTTTTAAACAGTCCTCACAGCTGCAGCCCATGAAGGGGATCAAGGCCCTTTCCTCCCCTGTAGACCATGTCATTCACGTTTCTTCCTTATTCGCTCCTCCCTGCGTGCCCTAGGATGAAGAGAGGATGGGCCTGGATCTTCCTCTGAATGCCCTGCCGGCCTGTGCCTTTCCCCAGTTTCCTCCACAACCTCCAGAGCCACACTCCTACTCCCTGTTGGCTATTCCTCCACTCCCTTGGAGTCAGATTCTAAGAGGGGCATGACAAGAGCTTTGAAGGATAGTATCACTGTTAATGAATCGAAAACAATACTAACAAACTTAAGGCATTAAGGTAATATTAGATAGGGAGATATATTATATTAGCGTCTGTGTCTCAAACAGAAAAAAAAACCCAGCATATTTAACCCAAATGTCATCAGTAATCGTCATCTTCAAAAATGTAGCTTTACACAGGTAGCCACAATCAATGTATAAACATAGTGAGGTTCAACCCACGAACACTTATAATTATGTCAACAGCATCTTTTATAAAATAGCAGCCACAAAACAACTGATAAAGATAGTAAACTTCAATCCACAGACATTTAATTATGTCACTTGCATCTTTCCAAAGAAGAGTTTAAAGTCTGTTGGCCTTGAATTATAGCTGCACATTTTCACTAATGGTAATCCCCTCTCTTCACACTCTGGGTAAATTTCGAAGGAAGAATTAGGACTGAATAATAATGTTTAGGGACAATACATCACCGACATCTGAAGTTATAGCTTCTCCAGTAACATTAATGATGAGTTACAGATATTTTACAGACAAATATTAGTAATTCTATAAAAATGTCACTGTGTTTCTCTCCCTCCACCCCAATCCTTTTAGAACAAAAACATTCGAAACTGGCAAAACTGAGAGGCCTCTAAACTCCTTGGAATCTCTTACCGCATATAATCTTGTCACGGCAACTTTGATTGTGTTTGGCAAAACAAGCACAGAGCAGCTATAATTTTTCAGCACAGATGGCATCATGTCTGAGCATTCACTTGTTTTCATTTATACGCTCTAACATTATAAATCTTCCATATTTATTACGCTCTTTTTAAAAAGAATCACTAATGCATCAAACGAGGCACCTTTAAAAAAAAACCCTGAAGATGTGCTTTCATCAGTCATGTCTGCACACCCTGAAATAAAAATGTATGATGTACATGTGATTTTTTGGGGGGTGGGGGTGGGGGAAGGGGAGCCAGTTATTTTTCTATTTCAGTTTCAGCACTCCTTATCCCAAAAAAGAGGCTTAGGAAAGCTGTGAAAAGAAATGGATACCAACTAAAATGTGATAAAATTGGGAGGAAAGCTTTTGAGTTCTCCCGAAGGCCTATAAAACTAAATGTTAAACAGAACAGAGTTGGGGAAAAATATTAAGAATTATGGACTTGCATCCCAAGTCTGCAAATTACAGGCATGTTATACTGAAATGCAGGGTAAACAGCAATACACAAGAGAAAGACTCCAAAGGTGTTTTTTCAAAAGTCAACTCTACTTTTTTCCCCCCCTTGAAGACGTTTCGCTCTTCATCCTGGAAGCTTCCTTAGTTCGGAACTGAGTTTTTGACTCAGAACTGAGAAAGCTTCCTGGATGAGAAGCAAAACGTTTTCAAGGAAAAAAGAAAAATCCAGTTGTCTTTTGAAAAGCACCTTTGGGACAACCATGACCTGGATGATCGAGAATCTCCGCAGACATTTAACTTCCAATGACTTCATGTAAGATATCCATGCATACTGTTAGCGGCATGGCATATATGGTTTGCCAATGTCTTTTTGTAGAATTATTTTTAAAGATTCCTTTCAATGGTTGATTTTCAAGATATCTTGATAGCCTCCAATTGCAATCATGATGCTAGCTAGGCCTGGATAGCTTCCAAACTCACTCAAGATTAATCAGGCTTTGTTATCTTGAATGCTTTGTACTCACACTGAAGAATTAAGATTAAGAACTAAGAACATTCAAAAACAGGGAAGAAAGTAAAAAAAAAAAAAAGGACTTACAACACCAGCAGCCCTATACATTTCAGCCTCTCCACGGGCTTCTTCAATGATCTGAGCCAAAGGCAATGTACTGCAGGGTGATCCTGCAAAGACGAAGATATATATTCATTAGTGCACTGATACAATAGTGCATTCATTAAACTTTGCCATGCTCAAAGACAAGTGTATTAAAAAAGGAAGCAAACGATTACCTAACCTCATCTTTTAAGTCATTTGTATGCTGATTACTTCCTCTGACATTAAAGAACCATATTTTATTTATTTATTTGGCCAAGTGTGGTGAGACACCCACAAAGAATTTGTCTCCAGTACAAAAGCACTCAAGTGTATCACTGAACTGAGTTAATTCATACTATCCACACACGCCTTCAGAAATAAATGCAAAGCCATCTGATTTATGAATTTCCTTTCCTTCAAGACTAGATCATATAAGTTGATACAGCTTTGGGAGCAAGTTTTAAGGCAGACTTGCTCTGTAAGTGCAGTGGAAGAAGAAACCTTGATGGAGAAACGGAGGTAGACCAATCTAATTGGTACAATCCAATATAATGCAAGGATCCAGTGGTATTGTCCATACTTTGCAAACAAAATGTCCCCAGTTTGAACTCCTGGTAGGTTGGCAGAGATGTTAGAGATAACTTTATTGGAAATTTACTTTGCATCCGCCAAGGTGGGTAGATCAATTGGTCTATACAGTCTATGGTGGTGCAGTGGTTAGAATGCAGAATTGCAGGTTAACTCTGTCAATTGCCAGCAGTTTGATTTTCACCGGCTCAAGGTTGACTCAGCCTTCCATCCTTCTGAGTTTGATCAAATGAGGACCCAAACTGTTGAGGGCAACATGCTGATTCTGTAAACCGCTTAGAGAGGGCTGCAAAGCACTGTGAAGTGGGATATGGGTCTAAGCGTTACTGCTATTGAATAGTAGGAAAACTATCTTCTACCTTCTCACCCTTATTAACATCCCCATTTATCCCATGTCTTTTAAAGAGAAACAGCAACGAGAAGGCATTCACCTGGCAATGCTCTCACATGGACCATGCCAAGGACGACCGATTTCAGTCGCCCAAAAAGCCGCAGAAACTTCTGCATCTGGAGAGAAGAGAAACACGTTGACATCAGCTCCTCGCCAGCAAACTGCACTGAAAGAGTATACGTCGAGAGATTTATCTCCTCCTACATCAGAGGTGGTATTCAGCAGGTTCTGTCCAGTTCTGGAGAACCAGTAGCAGAAATTTTGAGTAGTTCAGAATACCATCCCTGACTGGCCCCGCCCCCATCTATTCTCCGCCTCCCGAGTCCCAACTGATTGGCTGGGTCTTCTTTTGTTGCCCTGCACAGGGGAACAGAGCTGGAAAGCAGGTTATTGGGGTAGGGAGAGAAATGGGGATTTTACAGTATCCTTCCCCTGGAGTGGGGGTGGAAGTTTGGATTTTACAGCATCCTTCCCCTGCCACGCCCACCAAGCCATGCCACACCCACCAAGCCACGCCCATAGAACTGGGAGTAAAGATTTTTGAATCCTACCACTGTCCTACATACTCTAATAATGCAAAGGGGGAGGGGCATGTGAATGTGCTTGTACGGGTAAGTGTGTTCTGCCCACACTCCGAACTTGTTTTCAAGATTCACAATTTTCTGGGACTCTTATTTCTATGGCGATCTCCCCCATCAAGAGTTGGCCACTTGCCTCTTTCAGACGCACAGTGTTGAAATTTCAATTGATGTAAGAATTGTCATTTACTGTCCAAAATAATCAGCAGATTTTATTATTTGGCCCACTAGTTGGACAAAGCTCTTAGGATGATATACATCTGTACAAAATGAAAGATAATAAAAACAGAGGTCAGTTAAATATAATTTAACGAAGAGCAGTCATGGTAATCTTCAATTACAACCGTTCGTTTATGATTGTTCAAAGTTACAAACGGGATTGCAGAAAGTGACTTATGATTTATGACCTTCTGACAAGCAAAGTCAATGAGAAAGTTACATTTGCTTAACAAACAGGCTACTAACTTATCAACAGCAGTGATTCACTTACCAACTGGGGCAAGAAAGGTCATATGGGGCAAAACCCACTTAACAAAACTGAACCTCAGAAATCTGGGGCTTAATTGTGGTGGTTACATCAAGGATTGCCTTGTATAGCAAACATTTGAAATTTAAAAACCAACTCACTCCAGGGAAAAACCTGACTAGTGAAATATATACTAACTGCACCCTTAAATATGCAGAGGGCAATTAATTCCAACCCGAGAAGGAACCCGGAGCCGCTGGTCGATTTTGGAAAAATGGCGATGAGATGCCCCGATGATTGGCACCTCCCGCCCCACAGATGGGCCGGGGGTGCAATCCCTAAACTCAGTTGAACAGATTTGCCAGGGAGCAACCGGGATCTCTCCAAAGTCTGCGCCCAGGAATGCACTTTGGCAACCTCCAGGTTTTCCCTCCCACGGGATTCCACCCCGCCCCACCGGCAACCAACTGTGGGCTCAGTATCCTCCCACCCACCTTCGGGGATTCCCCCCGTCCCTCCCCCTTCCCCCGCCGCCAGGCTCCCACGCGCGCTCGCTAAACGCGGGAGGAACTTCCCCGCTGGCTCCTCCACCGCTTATTCGCGCTCAGCCCGAGCTTTACGCACTGGTTCCTCCGCGCCCCGCCTCGCCTCTGCGGAAGCCCCGCCTCTCCGGGGGGCTCCCTCCGCCCCTTCCCCCCCCCCAGCTCCGGAGCCCTGCTGGCCGGTTCCCCGCGCTCACCTGGATGGGGGGTCCCTCCGCCTTTTACCTGCCGGAGCCCCGGCCCGGAGAGGAGGAAGAGGAGGAGGAGGAAGAAGAAGCGTCGGTGCGCGCGCGGAGAGACCCGCGCCCGAGGCTGCGGGCGCTGCGTAAATGCCTTCGCTCGGAGCCTGGGCCCGCCCTGTGCGCCAAAAGCCGCGCTTGCGAGCCGCGCAGGGGACCCGCCGCGCTGCGAGGAGGCGCCCAACGCAGGCCCAGACGAGCCCGCCTTCCTGCCAGCCCGCCCGCCCGCCCGCCCGCCAACGCCGCAGGGGCGCACGCCAGCGCCGGCAGCCAGAAAGGGGCCTCCTTCCCTCCCTGCGAATTGGGGAAGGGGCTTCTCGGTGGCTCTTTGCAGAGGTAGCTTGAAAAGAGGGGAAGGGGGGTGGCAGGGCCTGTCCTAGCCACCCCCACCCTTGAACCATTGCATTTATTCTATTAAGTAGATTGTGCGGTTTTGCTTGAATAATTTGAGGGAGGGGGCTTCCGATGTACCGTCAGTGGCTGGCACATGTTGGCTGAGCCATATTTGGAGAGAAGGGGCTTCTGGAGGTGTTTGCAGAGGTGTCTTTACAGAAGGGAAGGGGGGATGGCAGAGACTGTCTTAGCTCCCCACTCCCCTTATAACCATGGCATTTATTTATTATTATTTATTTTATGGTTTTGATTTAAGGCTGGAGGGTGGGGCAAACTTCCTAGCCACCATCGGTGCCGGGCACATGTTGAGGGAAGTTGTGGCTGAGCCATATTTGTCCTGAGGGGGTTTCTGGGATTGTTTGCAAGGGTATCTTTAAAGAGGGGGAAGTGGATAGATAGTAGGGCCTGTCCTAGCCTTCCCCCTCCCCTGATACCCATTGCATTATATTATGTCTATGATATTGAAGGCTGGGGAAGGGTCTTCCTGTCCCCATCAGCTGCAGGCACATATTGGGGGAGTTGGGATTGAGCCATATTGGGGGGAAGGGGCTTATTTGGGGTGCCTTATTTTCCTGTGGGTTTTTGATTGCTTTAGAGGGTGGGTCCTTGATGCTTGCTGATTTTTTTATATATACATATTATAAATAAGTCTAACATTTTAAATACAGATACTTGGTTTCTGAACAGTTTTCTAGTTTACAGTTCTTTGCTGTTGCAGGGCTTCTGGCCTCTCGTTAGGCCAGCAATCGTTTCTTTTTTGCTTTCCTTATAATCCCCGCTCCCCTCTGGCCTTGCTAAGAGTCACATCAGTGGTCTCTTTTTTAAAAAAACCAATTCTTATTCTGGCTTTGCATCTTTGCATCCAGGAATGGTTGTTCTTTCTCTTCCCCCTTTTTTTTTCTTCTATTTTTTTTTTTAAATCAAGTTACCCTCATAGCTCGCAATATTGTTTTTACAACTGATTTAGTGAAGGGGAAAAAAACAACACAACAATCTGCAACCATTCTTTTTTCTCTGTTTCAGTTTCTGGCCGGGCCTTATCTTGATTTCTCCAAACCACCATGCCTGGTGAGAGGTGAGTTGCATATTTGTCTTATGCTCCGCCCCCTTCCTTGGTTTCTGAAAGTAGGCCTTTTGCTCTCTTCTCTAAATTAGCAAGAAAGTTTCTGACTCCAATAATGAAGATTCAACTTATTGCTGGGTGTGGTTGCTTCCTATCCTCCTTCCTTGCTTTCCTTGATTTTTTACCCCACCTTTATTACTTTGTAAGTAACTCAAGGCGGTAATAGTCTCTCCTACTCCTATTTTACTTACAGCATCCTCGTGAGGTGAGTAGGGTTGAGAGAGTGATGGGTCTAAGGTCACCCAGGTGATTTTTATGACTAAGGTGGGACTAGAACTCGCCATCTCCTGAGGTCCCCATTTGGACCTGTTTCCATAAAAAAGAAAACACCGGGAGCCGTAAAACCTTTCCCCGCACCTCACTTATTTCGTGAGCGGCCACAAAACTAGCGTATATAGTTGAATTAAAGATTCGGTTTTCTTCTGAAATGTTTTCTTCTCTTGGATTTATCCATGGTTAGCCTACTAAGGGGTCAAAAAGCTCAATAAATCACTTGCCGCTGGATGTTGCATGTTGGCAGTTGTGATGCATATTTTGAGAGACAGGGAGCCACAACACAGGGATGAAAGAGCCACATGAGGCTCCAGAGCTACGGGTTACTGACCCCTGAGTTAAGGCTAGAATTCACCATCTCCTAGTTTCTAGGCCAGAGAAGGCTAATCTTTTTGGGCTCCTGTGCCGATAATTGAGTGCCAGCACCCAGAAGGCAATGCGTGCGGGTCCCCCATGCCCCCTGCGCAGGCGTGAGCAACACCTCCCCTGCGTGCTGTGGGTCTGCACATGCATTCATGCCCCCTGACCATACATGCCAGATACCTGACAATCAGCTGGCGGGCGGTGTGCATGGATGCACAGTAGACCTGCTCTGGGCGAGGGCTCGTGTGCCAGCAGTAATGGCTCTGCATGCCATTTCCAGCACGCATGTCATAGGTTCACCATCGCGGTTCTAGGCCAACACCTTAACCTACCACACCAACTATGCTGAGTGGGAGAGGATTAAGTTAGGTCTCCTTATTCATATCAATCATATACCCACCTTTTCCACACAAGTGATTCTGGGTGGCTTACAAAATTCAAACAACCCCCCCCCCCCCCCCCCCCCCCAGACATCAGTGGAGCAAAACTCACCTCCTTGCCCAAATGCCTGGCGGGGGTGAACAGCTGGGTTTCCAATGCCTTGAGAAAGACTTAACAGGGTTGGGCTATCGGAGCCTCCAGGGGATGTAGGGCAGAAGGCATGATTCTAGTAAGATGAACCTTATTTAGAAGAAGGGATCCTCAGCATGACATCTCCACTACATTTGGTGGGGTGGGCAGAAACTAAAGAAGAAAGGTGAGTCCCACAAGCAGTTTTGGAAGTTAAGCTGAACCCTTCACATGAAATGAAGCTTACTTATTTGGCCAACAAAATGGCTGTCAGGGCCATCAGACTTATGATTTGAATGGGGGGTGGCTGCCAGGGCTCTGACAAACCACCCCCATTCAAATCGTAAGTCTCTAGCTGCATCCCTCAGAGTAAAAAAAAAAAAAGATTTATTAGGAGTGACCATGTCGGCATTACCTGGGTGCAGCAGACTCTAAGACACATCATTCATTTCACCCTTGACCCTGGTCTTCCCCCCACCCCCCTGGATGTATATTCTCCAATGGGACACCTCCCTAGCCAAGAGTCATCAATCATGCTGTCCAGTAATAAACTTGTGCGCCAACAGCTTTGGCTGCCTAGCAGTTATCTGAAGCGTTTAAGGAATGCACTGCTTCCCCCCCCCCCTTTCTGCTGGCAACTAAAAAGACCAAATAAGTAATTTTTTTTAGTTGACAATGACCTTGGTTAGTGGAAAGGACCTGGAGTATTAGATCTGATGGGACAGACAGAAACCACTAGTAGAATGGTGGTCCCACACATAGCCTGGCTTTATGCCATGGAGGACTTTACAGGTGATGACAGCACCTTGAATTATACCTGGGAACCAATGTAGTTTGCAAAGCATCAATTAAGTTTATTGGCATAATGAAAAAATGCCCCCAAGATTGCTTATTGCAACATTCTGAACCAGCTGCAGCTTCTGAGTGATCTTCAAGGGCAGCCCCATGTAGAGTGTGTTGTAGTAATCCAAATGTCTCTTGTAGTGACTGCAAGGACAGGAAACTTGAGAAAGCCGAGAGGGATGGTGCTCTTGAGTTTGTTGTTCGAACCCGCAAAAGAAAATCTGATGTCGTGGTAAGTATCCAATCGTAATGGATTACTCTCTGTTGTAAAATAAGCACATGGCCGTCTGAGCTAAGTAAGATCGTGGTGTAATCCAACACAGCTGGAACTTGCAGTTTGTTTCATTCCTAGCATCTCTCACTATTGTCTCTGCCTGAAATAATTCTACAAGTTGTAACTGATTAGTATTTGGAGGGCCTGTAAGTTCTCCTGGAACCTGACGGTAGGAGATCTTACAAATTGGTAGCATTCAAACAAGAGTCTTCTCCAAATACTTCTGGAGATAACCAGGGGTTGGAGGTGAAATCTTTCTGTGTCTGTTACATCATCATCTTCATTTAACAAAGGGGTGCAAGGTGGAGTTTGGGCGACTGAATGGAGCTAGTGGAGTGTTTTAATGGCCGGATGCCCTTCCTGTCACCATTGTGGAGTTTTGTTCAGCAGGTTGTATTCTGAGTGTATCCAGAGAAAGAAATATCTGCCTCTACATAGGATCGAATTTGCAGCCTCCTGAGCTCCAATTCTAGGCCACTGCACCACTCCTTTGTGTCTCTCTTTTACATACGTACAGCAAAACTGTTTGACTGCAACCGAAGTTTTTCCTCTTGGTCATCCATTTTGTTTACCGTAGACACGAGGGGCTGTTTTCTATGTCTGCTGTTGCTCTGCTCTATGAAGGATTTGATTCCAGTCTTGAAACATTAACTTCTTAACTGTTAATGTTGTTGTTGCAGGCTATTGAGTTTGTTTTTGTACTTAAGAGAAAGTAGCAAATCATCTGAAGTGAGGCAATGGATACTTAAGTAGTAGCCCTTGAAATGACTACTTTTTAACTATAACAAGCGATGTTTCAAAGTCAGCTGAAGGGACTTAGATCAAGTAGAATAAAATCTAATTTCAGTAGTACATCTATCCTATTTTTACATTGCAAATCTTAGTCCCGAATTACTCTTTTCTTTCAGTTTTTACAAGATCCAGATGAAGATTCCAGTATAAATACAACCAACAGGAAATCAAATGAAAGTCAGGTAATTTTAGCACTTTAACACAACTAGACGTATTGTGACGAAGTTTTCATGGATGGGAAGTTACTTCATAGGCATGAAATGTTACTCTTTTGGTGCATAAATCTGCAAAATAACATTGTTCTTCAATTTTTGTATCTGCCTTTTTTCTGATATCTGATTGTTTGGGTTGGCATGATGTTTAGGTTATCCTAATGTTTTTAATTTGCATTTTCTCCTGCTGGTAGTAAGCTACCTAAAATCTGCCGCAAATTAGGTAGCATGTGCTACTGTGGAAAATTAATTAATAAAATGCTCTTACAGCAAAAAAAAAAATGCTCTTGGTTATGGATTGACTTTGATCAGAATAAACAGGTCTAATTGTCAGTCAGCCCTTACAATGTTAACTCTTCAGCTTTCTCGAATGAAAATAACACTTGCTGGCATTCGACGTCTATTAAATATGGATTTAATTCTGTTTGAAAAGACATTGCGAGATTTATTTCATCTGTTCCTTTCCTTTAGCCCATTTTGCTACTCATAAAACAGGCATCTTTGTTTCAGTGGTTATAATCAACTTGTGTCTTAATATTACATATTGCTGTGTATCTCAATATTGCAATACTAAGTCACAAGTTGATTGTCTCTCTATTCCTTAAAAAAGGCAATACGTAAGTACGCATGTATGCATGTATACATAAGTACAATATATGTATAAGGAACATGTATTTTAAAAATATTTGGGCCACCAAGTTCTTTGGCGATTATAGCCAATGAATACTGCAATGTGTGATGCATAGCTTCTTTCAAGTATGTGCCCTTTTAATGATGCTATCATGTATCCATCAGAACAGTAATTGTGTTTGCAAAATACTTAGATAATATGTGGCAATTATAGACATGGCTTTCATAACTTTTTAGACCTTCCGTTTTCCTTCGGTGTACAATGTACAAAACCAGGGCTTGCATCGAACATACGAGCCTTGCAACTCTTAAAAGATTACATGGCATCTTTTGCAAATGCAAGATTTATTAATTTAGGATGCCTTCTTTGATGGCTTAAATTTTATCAAAAGGCCAATGAAGTGATCTGGAGTTTTAGGTCAGTTTCATTGAGTATCTATGAAGCAGAAAGTTTGAACAACTTCTCAAAACTATATAGGAATAGTGTGGGATCACTTTTTGTAGTGCCTGTAGCCTCCTGTAGCAGAAATGGTCTTTACCTTGTAAACTGCATCTTCGTTTAAGACTAGAATGAGAGCTAGGGGCAGGAGAATGAATTGACCTGCCTCTTTAATTAAAAAGTAAAGATTTTTTTTGTTTCAGAGCAGTACACAGTGGTGGGTGTTGGTGAGGAAACTTCACCAGCCCAAAGGAAACATTCCTGTTCAAATGACTGGCTATCAAATTGAAATACCTTACAATGAAACAAACATGAACTGTTTTTTTTAAATGAAAAAAAATATTGGACATCCCTACAAGTTAAATTATCAGGGACTTCTGTGATTCACTGTGGGTCACAAAGGCATCTGGCTTATTTGTTTGGTCTTAAATCCCTTGCAAGAATTAATGTATGCTCCTTTTTGGCATGCTAGTAGCGCATCATGCATTCAGAGCACGTATTTTCAAAATGTAAAGATTAGCATAGATGCTGGATTACAGTCAGCACCTGCAATTCCTTCGGTACACAGCGGTATAATCTTGAGATGGCTAAGTTCATATATTTTGTGTCTGGCTTGTACATGCACTGAATGAAAACAATGTTTTAGGGAAAAAAGAGAGAAGGAGAGATTGCATTCTTACTCTTTCAAAGTTTATTTACCATTAAAATATATCAGAAGTACGTAGCAGTTTGGAACTTTCATATGTTTTCTTCCAATCTAAATCCCTCTGTATCTTATTTATCTCCATCACAGTGGAGTTTTGCCATCAGATGGAAAATAAACAGCTGAGATTCTAAAGCAAAAGGCCCATTTTCCTTCACGCAGAATGTCTTTTTGTCCAGTGAAGCGATTTCCAGTGTGGCAAGTTTTCTTAACTATATTAGCTGCTGTTCTGATGACTGTTTACTGTTCTCTTGAAGTCACCAAAGTTTTTTGAGATGGGAACATAAGCAGAAATAACGCCCCCCTTGTAAACAATCACATTGGAGAAACAGTTATAGGGTAAAGAAACCCCAATCTTTAACTTGTAAACTTGTCGGGACTTGCAATTGTTGGGAAATTAATCTGTAGTTCAGTAAACCTTTTTGGAACTTTGAACTTTGACTCTGTGCTGTTGTTTTTCTTTCAATAGTCAAATTATGTTGCATGTCCTTATTCACACTTGCTGATCCCTACACCAGAGAAAGATGAAGAACTTGAGAATGCAAACTTTGCAACTTCTAAGCATCAAAGGCTGGTTTTGGCTAGGGAGACACCTTTGCCTGTTTTGGGGTACGTTTCTCACCATTTCGGTATCTGCTGTTTGGTTTTTTTTCTTGTGAGTTATTAAACTGCTTAATTCAGGTGAGGAGAAACTGAGCATTTTTACTTTTCATTTTGGGGTGGCATTACGAGAGTGATCTGGAAGTAAATTATCATGAGGCTTGGGGGATTGTAAGCTTTTAAATTACCTTAAATCCTACGAATTTGGTGGCTTGTAAATGACTGTGTCATTTTGAGAATCCATGGTAGTTTTTGCTTCCATTCAGCAGTTGGCTGCAGAGTCTCTTAATTTCTATGAGATGCTGAAGGGGAGATTCAGAAATGGTGGAAAGTTTAATCCAGCTCTGTTTTAATGTTTTTTCTTTTTGGTAGTTGGGTGAATAGAGATGAACTATGGCAAAACATGCTCAATAAGGAACAGAAGTACGCAAGAGATAAACGTTATATGGAAAAGCATCCGCTCCTGGAACCTAAAATGCGAGTAATTCTCCTAGATTGGCTAATGGAGGTGAGATGTGGTTTTGTTCCTGCAAATATACAAGACTGATTTAATTGTCCATTTTGGGGTTATTCTCGAGGTTTGTCATTCTCGCCGTATGGTTTTATCTGCGGGGCTTGCTACCTTGTTTTGTTCCCCTTAGTTTTTGAAAGGTGCATCTAATTAAACCCTTCAGCTTTTGAGGTTGTTCATTGATCCACAAGCATTTCTTATATGAAACTAATAACACTATAAATCAGGCATGTTCATCTTGACAACTTTTAAGACCTGCGGACTTCAGCACCAAGAATTCTCCAGCAACCATGGAAATTCTGGGAGTTGAAGTCCACAAGTCTTAAAGTGGCCAAGGTTGGACACCCCTGTTATAAATGATCATCTCAACAGTAATATACTCAAGGCTGCTTTTTGCTGGTGGCTAGCCATTTCCAACTCTGGGTAACTGAGTGGCCAGTAGCCACCTTACCTTCAAACCTTGGAGCTGCCATGAAGCTCTCAGAGGCCTCAAAAGATTAATTGACCCCAATTGACCTTCCATCATTTATTGACTCTCAGCTCCTTGGATAGTCCCATTAAACCTGGGGTCCAATATCGGCCATTTTGAGGAACCCTGACCTCATGGTTGGTTGCGAAAGGAAATAAAAAGTTGGAGTAAGATTCTTGATGGTCTCACTGCCATTGCAAAAAAATCCCCACCAAAATTTATACTTTCTCCAAGATTAAAACTATGTTCCACTCTACTCTGGACTCTTGCCAGCTGCCTTATGGGATGGGGAACGCCTTAGTGTAACACGCTGATATAGTCCATGTGGTTATTTCTGTGAACACAAAAAATTGTTGAAATACAGGTAGCCTAGAATTCGTGACTGCCTCGTTTAGCAACCATTCACAATTTGTGTGTTCAATCCTTACGTGGATGACTGTTATAGCATCCTGTGGTCACTATTTGCACCCCATCAGTTTGCAACAAGCAGAATTAACAGGGAAACACAGAAGTAAAAAAAAAATCACAATTTGCAGTCACGTGATTTTTCTCTAAATGACTATGATTCTTTGTGGTGAAGTTGCTGGTTCCAATTGTCGCTAAGGAAGGACTACCTATATTTATTTATTGAACTCTGAAAAAGATCAACCAGCAACTTTACTGCAAAGAATAAATAGCAGTTGAGGTGCAAGAATGTATTTGTGTTACAGAGAAGGCAAATGTAGCTCTAATTTGCTGTCTTAACATGGATTCCTATGGATTTCTAAACAATTCCAGAGTCATGTTACCGTAAAGGAGCATTGTTCATTTGTGTGTTGCAGGTTTGTGAGGTCCACAGACTTCACAGAGAGACATTTTATTTAGCTCAGGATTTCTTCGATCGGTTTATGGCAACACAACAGAACGTTGTAAAGACTCTCCTTCAGCTGATCGGGGTATCGTCTTTATTTATTGCTGCTAAACTGGAGGTAAAAATCTCACTCCTCAATATTTGAGCCATGCTGCAGAGCAGTGTTTTTCAAATTGGCAAAGTTAAAGTTGGGTGTACTTCCACTCCCAGAGTTTCCCAGGGAGAAGAAAAAAGTAGAAAATACAACCAGTTGAAGAAACTGCAGGGAAAAAAGCAGTGCTGTTTTGGTTTGATGGCTTCTTTAACAAAAATGGATGCATCTTGGCTGCTTTAAGACATTTTTGTACTTGACAAGGGCCAGGTTATATAAAGCTGCTATTCTGTGTTATTTGTTATGGTTGGCTTTAATTGGTGAAGGCTCAGAAAAACTCCTTTTAATGTTAAAATAGTTTCATTATCCAAAATGTAAATCCATGAGAGTTAACCGTCTGGCTTTACCAGTTTGCCATCTTTTCAGAAAACAATAGGCCAATATATTGATTCTCTTCTTCATTGCAGGAGATCTACCCACCAAAGCTTCATCAATTTGCCTATGTCACTGATGGTGCTTGCACAGAAGAAGACATTATTAGCATGGAACTCATTATTATGAAGGTTGGTAGGACTGTACATGCGCTGTTGAAAGAATTGAAGAAAAGCAACTGTGCCGATAGAATATTTAGTAGCTCAGGTTGAACTGTTGGGGCCTTGTTGCTCTCTGAGCTTGGTTGCTTTTTTTGCAGACGTTTCATTACCCAGCTAGGTAATATCATCAGTGCTAGGGTTTGCTCTTATTTTCATATACTAGTGGCTTACTCTGTCAGGGTTGGTGCAACAGTGCAAAGATGCTTCTAAAAGTTTTATCCCGCAACACGGAAAGAATGAGAAAGCTCACGTCAAAGAGTTGCTTTCAAGATTGCCTCTCCAAATTCCACCTTTATATAAATACACATTTCACTTTAAACGTTATCATCAGCTTTTGCCCTGATTTCATGAGTCAGACTTCAGTGCTTTTAAGCATCTGAGCTCAAAAAATGAACCTGCATGCTTTCCAGTTGCCTGGGGTGTGTCCAGTGTTAGCAACTTTGAGACTTGAAGTCCCAGAATTCCCCAGCCAGCATGTTGAAGTTGAAATCCACGGGTCTTAAAGTTGCCAAGGTTGGACAGCCCTGCAGTGGATGTTCCATCAAGACGTGGAGTCAGGTATACCCGACTGCGCTTTCTGTTGCGTATGGGAATGTACAGATGGGTGAACGGGCTCTTTAGATGCCAAATAGATAGTTATGTTGCATCTCCATGAAAGAGCTTTAGAGTTTGCCTGGAATAGGACTCTTTATAGCTTTAAATAGGTTGTCTATCTTAATCCCACTGCAGTTTTCCTTTGGAAAGGTATAGAGCAGGGATGTCAAACTCAAAGCCAGTGGGCCAAATCCAGCCTGCAGGAGGCTTAGATCTGGCCCACGGGGCTTGCCTGGAAACAGCGAAGGACTGGCCCGTGGTGCCTCTACCAGTGAAATTAGAGCTTGGGCGGATTCAGGATTCCAGCAGTCTCCCTAATTAAATCATGATTCTTGAGCCAAACTTCAAAAAACTTCAAAGGATTTATTAAAGGCGACATACTGGTACTGCCCTCTATGAAGCCAAGTCTGCATATGTAATTTACAGTCACCTTTGACCCTGTTTCCCATCTTCCCCCCCGGGTGTCTCATAAACCAGATTCTCCCATTGAGTATGTTCACGGGCTGGGTGTCATCATTCACGTTCTCCAATTAAATATATTCGCGAGCAGAAACTCTGGTATTTTAGTTACAATCTTTTTGTGATTACCCAGGGCGTGGCACAAAAGCAACAAAGTCACAGAAGTAGGTAACATCCCTTTAATACCTCCAACTTGGCCCCCAATGTCCAGTTATCATCGGCTGGAGAAAAGAAAACTCCCAAGAACAATTTTTAAAGGGAAGAAATTCAGTCTGAACCCAAAAGTACATATAGATTATAAATAAAAACCAACACAAACCACTTGCTGCAGCAATTATCAAGACAGGGCAGGATAAGGAATGGCAGGCTTCAAAAGATAACAAAACACAGTTGGGAGGATGCCAGAACTCAGATAAGACTTGACAAACCAGGACAATTCACTCTTTGCTTTCAGCAAGGTGCTGTGTGCAAACGTCCTTTTTAAATCCTGTTTTCCCAGCTGCAGCTAATGAAGGGAATCAGGGCCCTTTTCTCCCCCGGTAACCCACATTGCTCCCTTCTCCATTCCTCCCTGTGTGCTGCAGGATGAAGAGGGGGTGGGCCTGGGTCTTCCTCTAAATGCCCAGCCAGACTGTGCCCTTCCCCAGTTTCCTCCACACTCCCGCTCCCTGTCAGCTGTTCCACCTCTCCCTCAGAATCAGATTCCAACAGGGGCATGACGCTTTTAAAGATAAGAGTTGGAATGTACTTCCGCTTTGCTGCACTTCTCTTCCACATTTCCTTCCTCTCCCCCCCCCCCCCCCCCCCCCCCCCCCCCCCCCGATTTTTTAAATGGCCACTACTAAAACAGGCATAGGAATGTTTTATGAGTTGATAGGAGGGCCCCGTGCAGCCCTCCCGAGTTCCGTTTTCACCGGCAGAGAGTTGCAGGAGGCAGTTGCAGCCGAAAACGGAGTTCGGGAGCCCGTTTTCGCTGGCAGAGTGCTCAGGCCACCACAGGTGCCCCCAACGTGAGTGGCATCAAGCTGGCCCCATCCACCCTGGCCTCCCTAAGGTCAAACACAACCCTGATGCAGCCCTCAGTGAAATCGAGTTTGACACCCCTGATACAGAGCATGTGCACCTTCACAGATAATCAGAGTTGGAAGGGACCTTGTAGGTCATCTAGTCCAACCCCCCGCCCAAGTGGGAGACCCTACACCATTTCTGACAGATGGGAGTCCAGTCTCTTCTTGAAGTGATGGCGCTCCCACAACCTCCGAAAGCAAAAGCTGTTCCATTGGTTGATTGTTCTCACTGTCACAAAGTTTCTCCTTATTTCCAGGTTGAATCTCTCCTTGTTCAGTTACCATCCGTTATTCCTTGTCTGGCCTTCAGGTGCCTTGGAAAATAGCTTGACCTCTTCCTCCTCTCTGTGGCAGCCCCTCAAATATTGGAAGACTGCTATCCTGTCTCCCTTGGTCCTTCTCTTCCCTAGACTAGCCATGCCCAGTTCTTGCAACCATTCATTGTATATTTTAGTCTCCAGTCCCCTCATCATCCTGGTTGCTGTTCTCTGCACTCTTTCAAGAGTTTCAACAATATTTTTTATAATGTGGTGACCAAAACTGGATGCAGTATTCCAGGTGTGGTCTTACCAAGGCCTTATAGAGTGGTACCAGTACCTCACTTGATCTCGATTGTATCCCTCTGTTAATGCAACTTAGGGTTGCATTGGCTTTTTTGTCTGCTGCTGCACACCACTGGCTCATATTTAGCTGGTTGTCCACTAAGACTCCAAGATCCCTCTTACACTTACTGAACAGCTACTCACAGTTATCTTGTCCCAGCATATCTTCTTCTTCTTCTTCCAGGCATTGGATTGGAACCTGAGTCCCCTGACGATCGTGTCCTGGCTAAATATATACATGCAGGTCGCCTATTTAAATGAGATTTGTGAGATGCTGCTGCCCCAGTATTCTCAAGAGATATTCGTGCAAGTAGCGGAGGTAATGAGGTAGAACCTTGCCGCAAAAGGTTCCTTCTCCCAGCCTGAAATGTGGTCTTCTTGATCATTGACGTTCTTTTTTCTCAGCTTTTGGACCTGTGTGTCCTTGATGTGGGCTGCTTGGAGCACACGAACGGGGTCCTGGCTGCGTCGGCGTTGTATCACTTTTCCTCCAGCGAGTTGATGCAGCGGGTTTCGGGTAAGGCGTTGTGTAATTTGACGTACATTCAGGACTGGGAAGTGAAAGCAGTATAGAACAATGGTTGCCAACCAGGGGGCTGGGGATCATTGGTGGTCTGCGAGAAAATTTTGGTGGTCCAGAGAGAAATGTCACCCCCCAAAGCAATTAATCTGGGCTGCGCAGGAACACAAGGCTGCACTGCCCACATGGCCCGCAGGAACACAAGGCACGCGTCGCTTGCATTGCAAACAACACGAGGTAGTGAGAGGAACGGGAAAGGGAAGAGGGGGTGGGACTTGCCCCACACACTCCACGTGCCTGGCCTGGCCACTGGGCTGCAGCTTTCTGTATCTTTCTTCTGCTTTTGGCTGCATGCAAGGAAAGCAGCAAAAGTCTTTCTTTCTCTCCCCTAAACTCCGCCAGCAATGAGTCTTTGAGACCCTGCAGGGCATCCTGCTCCAAGAGGCTGCACCATTCTGGCGGAGTTTGGGAGAGACTTCTGCTGCTTCTGCTGCTTTCCTTGCATGAAGCCAAAAGTCTCTTCCCCCACCCCCAGAGAACGGAGCTGGAGACGGTATCCTGCGATCCCAAATAAAGAATGATCGATCGGTAGGAAAACAGGGTGGGGAATTTTCCTGCAAACTTTTTTGGGGGGGATTTTCCCAGGGTCTCTGCTGCTTCTGCTTTTTCTGCGGAGACCCTGGGAAAATTACCCCCCAAAATGTCTGCAGGAAAATCCCCCC